TATTAACATCCTAATACCATTCGATAGGTAATTAAAAATTGCATTTCCTGGTAAGTTGAAAAATATGGGTTGTATTTAAATTAATCAAGTTAGAGCCACTTAAAGTTCTAATTTGATTAGTTTAAATTTGTGAACACCCTGTATAACATGGTAAGTTTATTATCATTGGGATATACAATATTATATCTTGTTACACTTCACCATAAATCACGCTTACATAACTTAAATACTTCTAAACTATTTGACACGTGCAAATTAGATTATATTTTGATTAAATTCATATTATTTAAAAAACCTTAAGATTTAGGTGTTATAAATGTTATTAAAACAGACACTTATTTTATTCAGCGAATCCAAAAATGCTATAATATACAGGACATTCCATTTAAAAAAACGCAATTTTGATATCTTTAGAGCTTTTGGGACACCCTGTACATTACAAAAATGTTTTTAAAATGTGCGCTCTGTAGGCGTCGGACAATTCGTAAAATAATACTTTGTAAAAATCAAACGGTTTAGCCGCGAACTTCCGTGCCGTTTAGCGTGAATAACCCTGTATACAGTAGTGGTTCGCTAGGATGGTCGACGGTTTTCAAACAACCACTGAAACCTTACTGCTTGGAATATATAAATTATTGTGATTTAATCGGGTTCACTATTAAATTTTTTAAAATTCCATAAATTGTACACACCCATTTATCTATCAGTTTTTTTGTGTCATGTCATGCGATATTCTACAAGAAGTTTACAGCCGGTAATTGAAACTAGATTAGTCGCAGTTGTGGACATTTTCTTGTATCAATTGTGCAATCTGTGTTAGCATTATAATAATATAGATCTTACCCGCTCTTAATCGGCCGTCTTCTGCGGCTTGTCCATTGACCATGATAGTTTTGATGAAAATGCCTAATGCGCCTTTTGGAGAGTCTCGTCCGCCTACAATAGTGAATCCAAGCGATTTTTTTCCAACCCCTTTTTCAAGTGTAACTGTATGAAATGTGCAGACACTGGACGCGGGCCTTCGTGGCAAAGTGCAAAAATTCGAAGCTGAAGTTGACTCAGAAAACACTGGCTCTGAGGACTGGGGACTGGGAGGCGGAGACGAACTATCATTTTTCGAGGACGATGAGCTTTTCCTCAGCATTCTCGTATAGCTTCCATGAATCGAGTTTTTTTGAAAATGACGCTTATTTAAAGGGCTTGGACTGGCCGCCGGATGCCCAGCTACGGAATGTCTGTTGAATTCGAAGTCCACCGATGTTTCCTTCATGCACCGAATGATAACCATTTCAATAATCTGATCGTTGGTGTTCAATATTTGCTTCGCTTCAGTGATCGTCAATCCAGAAAGCGCAGTTCCATTCACGCTCAGGATCTCATCTCCTTCTTGTAGTGTCGCCTCCCTTGAAACATATTAATTGCTTGCATGGAATTAACTGTACAACACGTTCTGCGCGCTCAAATCGATTTGATTTTAACTGGATTTTTTGTTTTTATTTTTTAGCTCTTATTACGTAATAATAAAAATGTTAATCATCGGTTTTTTACGTTCAGTCAGCTTGAATATCATTCAGTTCAACTGATTTATTTAATAGCTGCTTTTTGCATTAGGCAAGAAACCATTCCATTGTTGATTATTAGATGTTGATGAATCATTATTTAAAAGTGAGGCGCAACTCGATATTTCTGCTTAATCGGGATGAGCTTTTTATTAGTTGGGTTTTTGTTAAATTTTGCAAACCTATTGCGTAAAGTCGTAAAGCTGCAACTTTATTATGAAACGAAAACGTGTCGAAAATCTGATATTTTGGCAATTAGAAGACTTGATTGTTTTAAACTTAATTAAAAGTTTGAGAAAAGCCACAATAACAGATTTGAAAATGTTTGAATAATAAAGGCAGAGTATCCCGGAAACCGAAGAAAATCGACGTTGCACCGTTAGCTGTGCAATAGAAGAAGAAAAACTAATTACACTGTTGCATCCCGTGAATTATCATTTAAATAACTAATTAATTATTATGCGATGATTAGTTTTGCGTGAGTATTTCAGTTACGTAAGTACACCATACCGCAGAACATCCTTCCTTCAGATAGAAGACAAACACTTTTAATTATTTTATTAATTAAATGATGACACCACACAATGCAGCAGTGCTTACACAAGCAGTTTCATTAGTGTTAATACGCGGGAGAGAGATTTGATTGAGTGAGATTAGATCAAATTTGAATTGAATCTGTCTGAATATCTCGAAAAACACATACGATATGAAAAAATATTTTTTGTTGAAAAAATTACACACTATTTGCATTAAATGTGCGGGCTGAGGCTCGGAAAGGTACAAAAATATTAATTAGCAATAATACTGACAGTCACTGTATAAATTGCTTATCTCATCAATTTCTTGTTTACTTTCTAGACGATCATGCATTTCCAATTCTGTTAATAACACTTTGTTTGGTTTACCACAAATTAATATTAAATGAAAAACGTGTGCAGTCAGCGATACGGGCACGTTATAAAAAAAAGAGAAAACCACGGTGATCTTGAAGAATCAATGTTAATTTGAAATATTCTCATTTTAAAATAAGTGGTTTGGTATTGAGATATGTTAATGGGACACGCATATAGTTAAGTGCAAATCAAAAGTTGGATTAATTAAATTAAAATCTAACCTTGAAGCCAAACTCTGATGTACGATTTTGCCAACCAAGTAGCCTTGGGAGATCTGTTTGCTTCTCGTTATGAAGATTCCTAGCTCTTCATCAGGATATTTCTTGTTGAATTTAACGATTGCAACATTTTTGCTGTAGTTCGCCGAAAAAATGCTGTCAGTGGAATTAATTTTTCTTTGTAAACCGGTGGAATAACTTCGGCTTAATCCTTCATTGGTTGAATTGGATATGGCCCCATCAATATCGATGTCTTTAATTTCTGTAATATGCAATGGAGATTGCGAGGTAAACGATCCCTCGAAATTGGACGCGAATGAATCATTGACTAAAATCCCACTGTCGGAATCCTCATTATCGCCTAACAGTAAGTGATCTTCTTCATCATTTGTATTGACGTCATGGTAGATTAACGTGTTAGTTTGTCTAAAAGTTTCCAGATCCGGTAGGGCGCCATACGAAAAGCTGCGCTTTTTCACTATTTTTTTCCTCGCATTTTGCCCATCGGCATCGGCGTTTTTGTACAATTTAGTAAACAGACGACTTTTTGAGTTCTGCAAGTACTTTTCTGACATTGCGCGAAGTTTGGCCGTAAAACATGAAGATCTAGGGGCACTATCACAAGGGGCATTATCACTATTATTGTTGCTATTATCAATATTTTCACTAAGGCTAGATTTTACATCTTTGGAGCACGATGGGTCAATTATCGTACTTGCGGAGGCAGTTTCCAATGAGAAACCGTCATTATTTACAGTAGATGCGTTTGAATTTGAGCGAAAACACGACAGTCTGGTGTGTTTAACTCTATCAAGCAAAGGATTTCTCTTCTCAGGGTTGCAGTTAAACGCACAACTAGAACTACTGAATCGCGGTTGACTTTTATGTCTTCGTTTTTCAGACTTTTCCAAAATCACTACACTATCTTCTACACTGTAAAAATTCGTATCGCTTTTGTTGTAATGTCTTCTAGCCCAGGATGATGGCGTCATGTCTGAAACAAGACAAATGTTTAAAGAAGCTGAAAAAGGGAAAATTAATTTGCAATTACACACCAATTCTTGACCGGTGTCTAGGAGATTGTTTAGACGAAGAAATGATTTCCATATCCAGAGGGACATTTTCCACCTTTTCAGGCCTGCTATTGAACACGAAAGCATCTGGCGAGTCTGAGGTTCTCAATGGTGATAAACTGAGCAGGCGAGGGGATTGATCTTGTTTGCGAAACCACCTCATATTTCTGTAACAGATTAACAAAAAAAAACAATTATGTTATGACAATATACATATTACATATTTTTTGGTGCATTTTCAGCCCGCCCATGTGTTTCAACATGCAACTGTGTTGAATAATATCATTAGTGGTTAAAGAATGACTTGCTGCTAAAAATAAGCCTTTCTCAACTTTGTTTTTTCAATATTTTTTAAGTATACCAGGCCTGATCACTACTTAATCCTTGCTTGCTTACCATGTTAGATCCAATTATTATAAATCTAAAGGTAAATATGTGGCAGAGTGCTTCTGAGATTTGTTTGAAATATACCACGCAATAATAAGCAAAAGTCACATGTTCCTTTCAGTTGGTTAAACTGTCTTCATAAATCTATCAACTGGATCTAAGCGCGCAATGAGTCCGTATACCATCTACTTAACTAAATTGGACATATTTTATTTGTAGAAAACGTGTACATTAAAATATACAAAACGAAAACTGCAGAATATTATAAACTGCGGGTTTTCTCTACCGCTACCACATTCGTCATGCTACAATTAACCCAGATTGACATCTTTAGGAAAATTATTGACAAACTAACACAGTTTTCTCTTGCTAATTATTTACAGGCTTCACCAATCATGGTCAATAATTATAGCAATTCAATTTATTGTTAGACACACAAACACAGTTAGAAATTTATCTTTAAACGTGGGCATTAGAAGCGTAATTAATAGATAAAGCAACAGTGAATATGTTATTCGGGAGTTTTACTCTACTTCTTGTGGCACGTCCCGATCCAAATTTAATCAAGAACCTAAAGCCGTAAATCATTTAAAACACCTCGTTAACCAGGCGCCAAAATGCAGTAAAAACGTTAAGTCACCTGATAATTTATTATTAATTAAAGTTGTAGGTAAATATGCCGGTTTTTAAAACCGTTCTGTTTGTACACCCATGGGTTTTTTCGCTGATAGAGAGATAAGGCTGATGTCCATACCAATTATTTTAATATACTTTTGCTGAAGTGCCCATCTACAAGGTATTAAATTAAGTTCTGGGCTGCCTAGTAATTATTTCCAGTGATATTAAGGAAACTTATATTAACCTGTTTCTAGCGAGCGAATTCCTTATTACTAGCACCAAATTACTTCTGGGAATATCAAGCAATGCTGATTGACAGATTTTATTGATACCTATTATTTTGGCTTAAGTTACCAAGAGGAAGACCCAGGGATTTTCATTCAATTCAACCAAAGTTTGAGCAATTCTAAGAAGGCGCAGTTCAAAAGAACCGTCTTTAATTACCCTTCTTTATGAACACTAAATAAAGCTCGACTGTTATTCTTTGGTGTGATAAACTTTGTTTGTAGTTTTTATGTAATTATACTCATTGCGTTATCAGGCAATAAGAATGAAAAGCTTCTTGAAATAACTTCTTTACACCGGGTCGATATACCCAAAGGCCATTAGCATCCTTGACTCTTATTATTAGCAGATATTTTAATTAAATACATTTATATGACTAGCTTTGTTATGGCTTGATATATTTTTCCTATATACTGTTATTGCCAGCTCAATCATTTAATTGTGTTAAGGGTCAACAATCCTCTTCGGTTGTAATGTCGTTTAAATAAATCTTCAAATCTTCTGGGAAATCGACTGAATTTTTTCCTCTTTTCATCTTCAGCAAGTGTAAACTCGAAGGGGCTGCCAAATTAAATATTAATTATTAGTTTGATATTTTTCCGTGCTTTGTGTTTCTAACCGGTCTGAAAAATTGGGTTAACATAACACTTGCAACCAGACGATTAACAGTTTCAAGGGTAGAACAACTGTGAAATGTGCCGAAAGCCAAATATAATAAGTACCCGGGTAATTGAAATTGTGGTTCAAAGATTGGAAAAAAGTTAATCGAGTGTTGCTGTAACTAGATGTGAGCTTGTTGCATGATTTGAACTTTTTCATCATTTGCGCTACGAGCTTGTAAAAATTTAATACACAATATGGTTTGAACGAAACATACTAAGTGGGTGAAAAGTACAACGTTGCCTTTAAATAATCCAGTAGATATTATTATTAATTAAGACGAACTTAAAACATAACTGAGTCGAGTACTTTGTTGAAAATTATTTATTTATCACCTGACGCGCATTTCTTCGGAGGAAACGAATTTTATTGTGTGTTGTTGAAGGTTCCAACCCAAAGCGACTTAAGCCATTTTGAGCAAAACCAATTTGAATGTCATTTAAGAAACAAATCAGTTCTGAAGAGATATCATCGACTAAATGATTAATCCCTTCTCTGGTTGCAGTTCTGGTTGATTTGCTTCAGAATAGCAACGATTAAGTAAATAAGATGGATTATCGTGTATTCGTAGAAGGCAATTTACGTTACAAGTCGGTCAAGTTACTGAATCGTTAAATGGCATATTAAGATTTGCAGGTGTACATACATTCCACACAATGCACTCTATCCGAGGCAGCAAATTTTTCGACCATTATTTTAATTTTAATTAAACCGGTGATGCGCAAAGTCAAATGGGCGGCTAATTACCTTTAGTATACGTTAAACTCGTTTTGTAGACCAGAAAACACCGTTAATCACATTTTGTAGTTTTTAATGCAATTATTAAAGTGTAGCACCAAGTTATGGGCTTTTATATTATACTAAACACGTTCTTTACATCTACAGTCATACGGTATCTGATGGCTACACTGCATAGACATGATAGCATTTCTGGTGAATATAAATTGAAACTATTGCAGTGACAAACCAATTGAATTGATTAATTTATGAACTCACCAGAGTTCCAAGATCAGCTTTTCATTTTACGGATCGCATATAAAAATCGGACCAACATAAATCTGATCTCAAGTGCAGTATAACAAATTTAAACTGTAATTTAAATCTACCAACTATAATAAATTCAAAATTTTTTACATTCCTTAACATTTACACACATTAACATTCTGGAAATACCATGCGGCAGTTCTGGGCTTCTTGGTATACTAGGAATTTTTAAAACATAATAAATATGCCAAAATCCGCTGGCCGGGAGATAGATAAAGAGATCGCGCTTTTGAAACTACAGACCAATTAAATGAGCCATTTTCTTCATTTTTTTCACTTCTGCAATTGCGTCCCTAATGTCCACGACCTGTTATCTGCAAAAATATCTTTTTGGTTTTCACGTTCCTGTATGTTTTCTTAGAGGTCGCTATCTTCTGGAAATATTTGAAATTCCAAGAACTAAGCAAGTGCTCAAAAGGCCCGCCTTTAATTATTATTCTCTTATAAATATTACTCATGGGTTATGCATATTAAACATATACGTTTTATCATTAAGCCCCTCATTTTGATAAATCCTCACTATATTAATGGTAATGATCATAGTAAGTAGACTAATTTGTACTGATACTTTATAGTTAAATTGACTTATTAATGGTGCTATAAATTAATATAATTGCACTGGTTTCGGTATTATCAGTTGGCGGATTATTTTTTAATCCTTTTTATATTTTTTTCTCTGTCCTGAGCGAACATTAATCAAATCTACATCATAATGCATGATTTAAGCAGGGATTAAAATCTGGCTGTTATAGACATTTTTATCTGACACGTATATACGCATATTTTGCGTCAGAACTGCGGTCAGTTGAACAAAAAATATTCTAATTAGGATTTATAGTCACTTTTTCACTTAAGTCTTAATATTTGCTACAAAAGAACGTCAAAGCATACAAAACATGGTAAACATCACCATAATTAAGCATGTAACTGTAAAAACATGGCTTTCAGCTAACTAGACCCAAATTTTCTTCTCAAACCTCTTTTACATGTTTGCTCCACTGCAATTATAACCGTTCAAGAGCTCAACCACAAGGTAAATCTACTTCTCTACGTGTTTTCCATCAAATTGAAAATGTTTTGTACTAATTATGCGACTATTCCGAGCACTTAATTCTTCCATTGTGGGTTGCACAATTCTTGAAATAACTAACTCCATTTTGAGATTATTTGTTCCTACTGCGGCTTGTCTCCAGTTGACTAATTACACTTAAGTTATACTCCGGAAGCCTAGTCCGTTGAATAGCGTCAATTTAAGATGAAAGATGATACCGTTATTAAAAACGAAAAAAGAAGAGCTCAGGCAACATATTGCAGACTGAGTGTGGTTTACTGCACAAAAAGGCACATCGTGCTGCCAGCTCAATGGGAATCAACAGTGTTTCAACTTCCAACAACCTTTATTATATATGTTTAACAGTTGCAGACATTTTTTTGAAATTTCGATTGCGTATTATGATGTTGGGTAATTCTTTTCATTCCAACTCTAAAACTCTGTAGACTTTACCTACAAGTAAAAAGCCAATCAAGTCCAGCAGGGGTTCCATTTGATTGGCTAATCAATTGAGATTACTTCAGATTAAGCTAAGATTTCAAATTATCCATCATTCATTAGGTAAGTTATTATTTCTGATGATTATCCATTCCCAATTATGAATTACCTAATTAGTGTCTCATTTCCTGCTCATAATTATGATGGCAAATTAAGCTATTAGCAACTTCTTTGTCTTTTAAACTTTACATAGTAACTTGATGCATGGTTACGCCGGTAATTGAAGCGGGTGCAAAATGTATTGATCTACAAATACATTTTTAGTTATTTTTAGATGGATTTGATTAGATTTTTATGACGGGAGCTCTAATGTTCTATGGTCAAGTTGCACACATTCTTACACCGGTTTTCGACAAAGATTCAATTGAATCCATGAATTAATCTTGCAAAGCCACATTTTTTCAAACGAATATTTCATTTCGAACCATTTTAAGGGTCAAATGGGAAATGAAATGTATTATTCAATGAATCTATTAATTAGTTTACATTCTTTATTGTTAACCTACATTGTACGTTTCATGTCAGTTACTCCACTGATGCATACATAAAATTGACATTCCAATTAGGCCATAATTAGATGTTCATATTTAAATTGAATGGTATGGTGTACGTTCTACGATTTTT